ACGTTGTTACATACACGAACAATAAACACCATAAGATGGTGACAAGGAAACGTCACCATCTAAAATGGATAATTAAAAATAGAAAATGAAAAGTCATCTTTTTTATCGTAAATGTAGGTATAAAGTTTCCCGTTAAAGATATAGATATCAAGATCCAGGAAAGGGCAGTGTTCATTGTTAGTATTAGCCTTTTTTAAAGTCAGTTCAGCAGGATAAATCTCTTTAGTGTACATACTGAAGTCGTCATTATTAAGAGCCAAGATATCATCCAAATATCTAACAGTGTTATTACATTTTTGTATCAGATGTTGTTTCGATGGATCTTTGCTGATTTGAGTCATAACTTGTAACTCGTAATAATACAGAAACAGGTCCGCAATAAGTGGTGCCCCATAGTCCCCATTGGAATTCCGATAACTTGACGATATACATAATCTCGATAGCAAACAAAATTATTATCTAGTAAAAATTCAAGTCCAGTTATCGTATCAAAGCAGGTCCAATTGACATATTTCCTTTGTTTGTTGTTACTAAAAAAATACATATTTGCGAAATGGAGTCAGTTTGAATGTTGGTAAATTCGGGATTTCCTTTTGCCGAACCTCAATGTAAAATTTACGTCACACAATAAAGATATTTTTGGCAGCCTTATCAGTTTTACCGGGACAAAAACAAATTCCTTGGTGAGTTCTTTTTAGCTAATGTTTGATACGAGAAATAAGGCTATTGTGGTTGTTGCTAGGAGTAAAATGTTCTTTAAAACCTTTAAATACGAATATCAACTATGTTGATTACTGAATTAAAAAAAGAATCTTAAGATTTTTTGTTAGCTTTTTCTCGTTTTATCCATTTCGTGCAGTAAGTACGGAGTGAGTCGTTGATGATGTTACGACACTCATTCCAATTATTAATTGACGGGGGACGATATTAGGTCCTTTATTGAACTAAACCATGGACGATGATAAGGTCTGCTGTTATAACATGGGAACTGGGGCCATAAATGTATTTGGAATGACTGCAATTTCCTAACGTAGGTGTATTGTCACTGATATTAACATTTTTACACACTTCGCTGTTATTAAACACATATTTCAAGGTAGATATTTTGTAAACATAACAAATAAGAGGAACTAAGTATTATCAAAATAGCTAGGAATTTGTTCTTTAACGGAATGTTCATTAAAAATACAGGCAATATTTACAAAATCAAAACCTTTATACATATTTGATTTTAGGCCCAAGACCACAATTAATGACCCCACTTTTCGTTGTCCACGAATATAGTTCCTTTTAATTAGAGTGTATGTATTAGATACAATACAAAGGTAACAAAGAAACAGGCCGGTAACAACCGTTGCCGGATAGTTTTTCTGCACGAGTAGTCAGGTGAAGGTCCGAGGCGATAGCCGAGGACCTTGACCTGACTACGAGTGCAGAAAAACTATTCGGCAGTTTGTTTCCGGCCTGTTTTTTTGTTACCTTTGTTTTGTATCTGACTTGTACGACGTTTCAAGAAAGAAGTAGTACATTTTGCATGTAGAAGAGGAAGCAAAATTTAACAGATTCAAAACTTAAATGGCCATATACCAGTTAATGTAAGTTACAGTAAGACAGTTCAAACAAACTTTTTTTTCACTTCCCTTCAGCCTATATTTTTTTCTAAAGAAATTCAAGAATCTAATAATGCATCTTCGCAAGTAAGTAATGTATGAAAAAGATTTCAGAGGTAAGCAAGCTAACATTTGATTTTCATTTGGGGGAAAACGGAAAGGGGGGGGGGGGTTAAAATAAATTTAATATAAACAGGCTCGATTCTTTTTTGTTGAAAACATGCAGGATATGTCATTCCATTCCCCCATTCCGCCTTAAAAAATAATAAAAATCGTACGTTTGCTCCCAAATATATAAATTCAATAACAATATAAAAAGAATGAATTTCCTATTTCATTAGTGAATGAAATGGTACGAAAAAATCGATTTTGTCTTGTTAAAATCACCCATATATAGGCATATATTTTGGATTTAAAAAAAAATTATGCTTATAGGTTTTTATATATGTCTCTTATAGTGTTGGTCAGGATCAAACACGTGTCACAATATGATCCAATCGAAGCTTGCCGTCCAAAATTAGTGACATAAGTTGAATGATTTTCTTCAAGATTTGCTGCCTATTTGAACATGTATTACACGGACACTTTTTATTTATAGGATCAATCGTGCATTGGTGAGTTGATAGGGATTTTATCTTTTGATTAGATTTGATTTTTTTATATATATTTCCTGTCTTTTTTATTGAAATATAAACGTCGGTACCAGCATTTCTTTACTTTCAGCATTGTCCAGAATACTATTCATGTCCATATATTGAAAAAAAAATACATTTACGGACCGACCATTTAGCTTCAAAAGGGGGGTAAGTTTTTTTTCTGAGTAAGAAAATGATTTAGTTTATCAACGCTATCACCCAAATATTTTTTTCCGAAATTAGCGCCATTATATACGGTATTCGGAAAATCAGGAATCAGAACATTATTTTGTCATCTGATTGACCACAATATATTTTTTTCTCATAAGATTGGGGATCAGAATATTTTTTTAGGAAAAAACATAAACTCCCCTTTTGAAGTTAAATGGTCAATCCCTTAGTGTACGGATATGAATAGTAATATACTGGAATTGTTTGAAAAAAATATAGTTATTGATGCCAACGTAAATATTTTAATGAAAAAGACAAGAAATATGTCGGTGAAACAAAAAGTTCAAATCTAATTGAAATTTAAAGTGCCCATGAACTCACTGGTCATGCACGAGTGATTCTATTCATAAAAAGTGTCCGTGTAACAACTAAAAAGTGTCCGTGTATCATCTAAAAAGTGTCCGTGTAACACCCGTTAAAGTACTGTTTTTCTATAGCTCTGCTGGGGGCAAAGTCGTACAAGTTTTCTTTTTTTTTCTTCTTTCCCTTCCTCACTCATTTCTTAGTGTTTTTTTTGGGTGGAAATGAAAGAAGAGAGGTGAAATAAACTTTTGGATGTTGTGGTTTAACTGATTTGATATGGAAAGAGTGATTAGGCCAGGTGCAAAAATGTGATATTTACAGTTTTTGGAACATCTCTTGACTTGACATAGGGGTATGGATGTGTATTGGCTAAATTTGTAAGAGTGATTGGTTCAATCTTTCTGAATTTTGGATATATTTTTGGACTAGTACTATACATTACACACACAAAAGATTTGACAAAAATGCATGGTGCATTATTTTTAATAAAACAAAACGTTATAAAGAACTAATAGAGGAATTTAATTGTGGTCTGTGGCCTTTAATGAAATGTTTTTTTTTATGATCTTCAGGGCGATCAACTTTTGGAAAAAGTTTAGAATAACAAAATGCAATTATAATTTGGACGATTTCATACTAAGGCTGCAATATGAAATTGTGTTGCAATCCTCTAAAATTTGTTTTAATTCATTTACAGGTAAAGAACATAGCTTGGTTAACAGATAATGTCTGCCGTTTTGGTTTTTTTTTTAAACAGTAATTAGGTCCGAAATATTTGTATTGTTAGTACGAAACTTTCTCTTATTGCAATTTATTCTGCGCCCATGAGAACAGTTTCTACGAACAGTTTTAGAAACTATATCCAAAATGTTAACAGAATCGGTTAGTGGTATATTATCAACTTCCATGATAGTATCATTAAGATCGAGAGGATAAACTGTCTGTAATCTTTAATCCAATTTAATTCAATTATTTTCCGTGATCGTACAAATTTTGAATGAGATTCACTAGGCTGCTTATTTACTACCTCCAAAGGTTGAACTGTTAAATATTTAATAGGATGATTGTGCTTCTTAAGGTGTTGATAAATGATACTTTTAAATGTATGGGGTCTTCTTAAACGGTAAAGTTGTTCTTGTCGGCATTTTGATAAATAGCGTTCGGTTTCAACTACGTACTGAATATCGCATCCCGGTTTGTTTCATGTAAGTAAATAGATAATACTGTAAGTTTTTCAATTTATATCAGTTTCAAATTTGAGTAAAATGTGCGACCAATAAACGTGTATCTTACCGTATTGTTGGTGGAAAGACGGGGACATGTAAGTCATTTTTTGGCATGACACTTATCGATGGAAGGGTAACCACGATTTCTATTATTAAAAATGATAGCAATTGTAGTATTTTTAGATAAGCGATTTTGAAGATTGAGACGTGTAGATACCCTTTGAATGAGTTTGGTTATTAGTTTTTTTCCTTTCTGAGTTTCATTTTATTATTCGTATTTCCAATTCAAAGAAGCAAACAATGGCGTCAAGAATATGAACCTGCACACGGGAATTGAATCAAGTAATAAGATAAAACTGATCGGCTAAAGACGACAAACGCTATCCGTCATCAAGTACCCGACAAAATACGTAAACTACAAAACCAGAGGACAAAAACATAAGACAGGGTATATCAGGGTAGCGCCTGACGTCTGACTAAATAGACGAATTGGGCTGAATAGTAAAATGTAGAAATACTATTTCATGAATTTTGTTGGAAGTCCAGTTAATAAATAATATATATATATATATATATATATATATATATATATATATTTATAAATCCCGTTAAAATTTTTCTGTAACTTTAAAATACTTTCGTATTATGTGATGTCGTATGGCCATTGTCTTTTCTTGTAAATATCTATGTAAACGTTTTATTATCTAAAATATATATCTAAATTTACCTACACAGTAAATGACATATTCAAGTTCTCACAGGACGTGGATCGTCATTATGTAGCGATTCAGTAAGTACAAACGCACTGAACGTTCATAAATGTTGTACACAACATACATAAAATAATATGTTATCTTACTCTTTAAATAAAAAGTTCAAATACAATAAAAACATTTAGAATAACCAACATGCCATTTAATGCCATTGTGAGAATTGTTTTGAATGATTTCTAAGTAAAGCCTTTTTTATTATTTTGTTTTTGTTTTTTTGTACAGTTTGAAAAACAGAATAGTAAAATAGTGATGGGGAGTTGTAGCAGCAAAGGTAAAGTAAATATTACGTCTCTCTAGACATATAGTTCATCACCAATTTGCATCAACACCATATATTCTGTATCATGTGAAAATGTATTTAAGTGGTCAATCGCTAGCTATTCAATAGGAAAAACTTAAATATGATGCCAATCTTAACATTTGGTACGCCAGACGCGCGTGACGTCTTCATAACGACATGTACTCATTTGCCTGTTTAATCTTCAACAAGAACTATAAACAAAAAATTGTCGTTTTAATGCGTCACATTTTTAGATTAGTACATATTTCATTGAAGGTTTTGAAATATGAAATTGACAGCTACTTTACCTTTTTTAAAGCAATTAAGGAAAAGTAAATTAAGATATTGTTAGAGTCATCAACGGTAATCTCTCTGATGAAAGAAGTTATAAATATAACAGATTATTTCATGTAATTTTAGTGGAATGGTTTCGTGGGACACAAGCACATAATCGTATCTTTGTTATGAATACTTCACTGGAGAATTTTGTTATTTGGGATAAAGGAGAACATTCCATACCATTAGCAACTAATTACATTTGTGAATAAGTTGTACATCAAAGAACTCTTGAATGGAAATAAACGTATGAAATGTAAAGATATATTTTGTATATTTTTGGGGTTTTACTTTTATTTACTAACATTATTGCATCATTGGTGTTCTGTAGAATTTGCCACTCAAAACATTTTCTAAATAGTACCTGAGAAAATAAAACAAAGACATGCCAGATTAATTATGTTCTGCTAAATAACTGGAAAGGTCTAAGAATTGAAAAACGTGATGGAAAAGTGTGCTTAATGTCTTCTATTCGTTTTTTTGTCTACAAGGATTCAGTAACCATTGCTGTTTGATGGATAAATATACTGAAGACATAACTGAAGATGATCATATACAAATTAGGTGAATAGCCTTTCAACTGAGACAAAGTTGAATCATACATTTGGTTTGCTCAGAATATTGGAATATAAACATTTTTTGTATTTCATTTGCAGTTAAGATGGTGTCCTATAAAATTTCGGTGAAGACTGGAGATCAGATAGGAGATGGGACTGATGCTAATGTTTACATCAAACTTTATGAAGAAGGTAACCAGACAATCGTGCACACTCTAGATAACTGTTTTAAGAATGATTTTGAAAGAGATCATATTGATAACTTTTCTGTTAGTTCTCAATTCAACATTTCTAAAGTGCAGAGAGTCGAATTGTGGCGAGACAATTGTGGTTTGTTAAGCAACTGGTATTTAGATTGGATTGAAGTCACAAACAAGGCAACCAACACCAAATGCCTATTTCCAGCAATGAAATGGATCAAAGAGAACCACCGTTATTTTTTTAACAACATGGACTCATGTTTACCACAAGACGATCCATTTAAAGAATCGAGAATGTCGGAGCTTCAGGACATACAAAAAGAATATCAGCTACGGGTTAACATACATGGATTACCTGCTCAGGTAAGGATTCATTACACAAAAGTTGAGAAGATACTAAATGAACAATCATCAACAATAAGTCGTAGAAAAAAAACCATGTATAAACGAAAATCGACGACATAAAAACTACAGTTCACAGAACAGTACACGAAAAACTAAAGATTGAGGATCATGACCTCTCCTTCTGAACAAAAGGAAGCGATTTTCGTGCTCATGGAGGATAAGCGGGTCTTGCCCATGTCAAGAGTAAATGCAATAATAAGTAGCAATCGATGATTTCGCAATCATGAATAACAGAACTGGATTATGTCTATTATTAGTGGGACCTTTCATGTTTATCTATGGCACATTAACAATGAAAAGAAATTTTCAAATTTCTTTATTTTCCAATACTTTAACGTTCATAAGACAATTTTCAACTTAATACATTTCACTTTTCTCAAAATTTTGTAGACTACCAATTTTTCATTTTGATCCATAGATCATCATATTTGTCCTTGTCATAAGCAACACGAATGATGACATATGTTGAGCCGGATTAGCACCTGGTATATATCATCACGGTTTTGGCAAGGTTCCTGGCGCTTAGGTTTTACTAGTAAATGTAATATGAGGAAGGCGCTACCTTGAATGCCAGCTTACCAAGACTATGTCCTACATATTGATTGATTGTTGGTTTGCTTAACGTCCAGTGGCAAATGCTTCATGCATGTTCAGGACGAATGTCCTACATATAGTTTTTGTCTAAAATAAAATAATTAGTTCAGATGGAAAATGTCAAGGGAACGATCATTGAACTCCCAAATTGATGAAAAAAAAATATTCTAATCAAGCAGAGGACAAAAAAATATTCTGAATCCAGATTATCCCCATACCTTGGGCTTCTAGTGTTAATTTTGGACCAACTAATTTTGATCGATAGCCCTTTGCGTGAAAAAAAATCTAACTCAAACAAAACACCATAACCCCCGCCCTTTTGACGCTGAATGGTTGCACCCTTATTGTCCATATTGTTTTCTGCTGAAAATAAATTTATTCGTGATTTCTCTAAATGACAATGCTTAAATTCATTATCTTGTGCCATTTTCAAATCCATTTTTCTTTCTTTGCAAATCTTACAAAATTTAAAACAATAAGACATTTGTTTAATTTCAAAACTATAAATACTGTTATACAATCCATAACTTTATTAAATTAACTTTTTTGTTGATTTTCATGAAAAGGTGGAGGATTGGGATATCTTTTTCATCAATATCTAAAAGTTGTAGCAGGTTTTTTTTATTTAGTATTGCAAACAACGCTTTCTGTTTGTTGAATTATTTTTACTTTCTAAATTAGCTGGATGTTCATATTGTTTTCCCAGTTTCCTGCATCTCATATATATGTGATCAGCAAGAGGATCATTCTGATTTTTAAAAGAAGAGTTTGAATTTACAGTGAGCCTGTTTAGAATAATGTTTTGATCAGGTTTTTCATTTTGATCTAAGCATAAGGAACCATAAATAGGATTGTTAAGTTGATAATCTAAAGATTTTGCTATTTTCTAGGATGCTATTTAAAATTTGAGGGGAGAACACTGCTCAGCAGAATAAATGTATTCCTAGTCATCTTCTGTTTGTGGGTTTCTACATCAATTTCATGTACTTATTCAGAGTCCGTTTATGTCATTTTAACATTTTATTTTATTAGCTTACTTTTCAAGTTTTTATACGACGGCAAAATAAAATTCAGAATGGAAATGGGGAATATGTCAAAAATTTGCTTTCGAGTAATGCAATCATGTCCCTGTTGTTGTTCGAAGACACATTTGGTTTCCGGACAATAACTTTAGTTTAAGTAAATGGATCTCTATGACAATGTATAAAATTGTACCAGAAGGTTCAACTTCAATACACAAAAGGAAGGTTAGAATTGATTTTGGGGGTTAACATATGGTACCAACAGTTTAGGAGTCAGTGGTCAAAAACAACATTTTTGGGTTGTTTTTTCCATAATTTTTTTGGTTTTTTCTCCAAGCATTTACCATTTTTACATTGATTATTTCTCATTTATATATAAATACAACAAATACTGATATGGCAGGAGATACACACGAAACAGGGTGTGTAAATTATTTTATCGGTAATTTGTGCATTTTTCCTTTGATGTGTACTTCTTGATTATGTCGACGTCAGTATCAGTGAACTGGTCATGATAAAGAAAATATATTGGGTCAGTTCGCAATTGACATGCGCGAGTGCACCGCAAAAGGATCTTCTTTCCCTTTAATTCACAAAATTGTACATGATTTTTTTTCGCAGAAACGCACGAGTTATTTCATGAATGAAACACTTGTCATTGTTTGAAACTTTTAGTAATAAAAAGTTAGTTTAGCCTTTTTGAACGATTCACTGACTGTGGGAAAATTTGAACAGAAAATGTACGATAAACCTGATAAAATTGCATTATCTGCAGAATTATTGATAGCTTTTCTTACTATTCACAAGGACATATAACTAACATATCGTCCATGCTATTCCGATCTGAGTTTTTATTCATACATAGTCTGGCATGGCTGGTGCTGTTCCAAGTTGTCTTCTCTCTCTGCATTTTTCTTGAGAAGTATTTGTTTGACCTGGTCAGTCACTATAAAGTGTTACAATTCATATTTAGACGCAACACATAAATAGTGACCAAAAAGGTACCGCTTTCACGTGTATGACATGAGAGAATCTAGAAAAAAAATTAAATGTACACATAATTTTTCAACATTTTTGTGGGACTATCATATAAAATTAAGGAGATATGTAGTTGGAGACTGCTGCTGAATAGAAATGTTCGGGATCACCTGATACCTGTTTTCAAATTAGTCCATATTAAAGTTTGAAGGGTCCAAAATTAAAATATGTTTGATTTCAACTGACATAAAAAAAAAATTGTGTTTTTTATATGCTAAATCTACATCTGCGGTTGTATTAGGCTGTGCTTGGCGATGCATTTTATTGCTTTTTTGTTTGTACTTTATTTTATTTTGGTCATGAAAATTAATTTGTAGTTGTGAAGTTGCTTAAATTTTTAAAAGATGATAATTAGATAACTTCGCATGGTGACAACACTGACGTTTTCGTAGATTTACTTTTTCCCGGGAATGCTTCATCTGTTGATATATTCTCATTGTGAACGATTTGTGTATATTTAAATATATTAACCGATGTTGAAAGACATGTATAATGTCAATTCATAACAATACAAATTGTTTAGTCTCAAAGAAAACTTGTAAGATTTCCGCAGTTATTTTTGTTGAATTGGGTACTCGGTGCAATTTGGGAACTGTGACGTTATAGCCATAAGTGCTTTCATTCCGCCGTGTATTTATTCCGGGTAACTGTTTTTCACTAGAGAATATTGGATGTAAATAGTGTAAAAGCGTCGATCTTGATATCGTTGTTTTGTTTATATAAGACCAGTTTATTGTTTACATAAATAAACGGGCTAAAATTAAAACGATTTTCAAGGAACCAGTTTAATTAATCTGAGCTAATCTAGTAAGTAATATTGATGATGATGAGGAGGCTGTTTTTATAACTCAAAATACTGTATCAATGATCAGGACATTGAACTTGTCAGATATAAACCAAAAAAGAGCAGATTTTGTCTTACATAAAGTTTCAATTATAGAAGCATCCTTTGATATTGACATAGGAGATATGATTTTATATAGATTTGCATAAAAAAATTATTCAAATCTTATTCGTTGATAAGCATTATTGTGTTATCGTGTGTTCAAATTAGTACTAATCACTTCACAATTTATGTATGGATCTAAAGCACTTGTGTAATTAATCCCGGTATACAATAACTAGTGCAATCATTCCGGTACAGAATCACTAGTGTAATCATTCCTTGTTCAAAAACACTAGTGTGAACATTACATGGATGAAAACTCTCCACTTTTTACATAAATCAACTATGCAAGTTTCAAATACACTAAAAACTATAAAACCACATTTTATATGTATTTCCCCTTTTTAGAACCTTATAATGACTGGTGGATGTTTTACACTGGACCCGGATAGAAAAACCTAGTGAATTTTCGTTGGTGGATAAAAATCACTGGGAATTTTCGTCCTCCGGATAAACTACACTTGCGGAATCAAACCACTATTACACTTATTGCTTTAATAGGTTGAAATGTGCCCGGGAAATGTGCACCTGATAAAAGTATTCAGGGAAAATGTTTTGATCAGGTTTAATTTAAACTGAGGCATAAAATATACAGGCGACTGCGGGAGGCAATTATTTATATTGCATCCAAATAATGTGTCGGCAACTTGAATTTTCAAAGGATGTAGCCCACATACTTCCAAGTAACATGCTCTACACAGCTACTTTTGCATAGGTACTATTTCTGTACCAAAAATCTATAGTACTGAAAATCTACTTTTATTATTCAGTACTATTTTGTTACTTTAAAATTATTGTAATATTTAGGTACCTGTATTTTACAGTACTTCGGCTCCGGCTACGTTTCTCTCGAAATTTATTGCTTGCAGAGGGTTTTTCTGTGTTCCCATGGCTATACGGAACTTTAACACTACAAATGTTATCATAAATTATGATATTGTAACTTTTAAATGAAGTACCTGTGGTTATTAAGGAAATTTGTCACTGATAATGGAAAGATGAAGCAGACGATGAAACATGGCGTAAGATGTCGTTGTCCAAATATTTCCGTGGTACAATAAAATTTAAATAAACTACACAAGTTACTAAAATTTCTAAATTCTTGTTTTTGTAAACAAATAAAAATTCATGTCGTATTTAACATCGAATTTATTCCGTTTTGTCCCGTTTTTTCAAGATCGCGATTAAACGAGAATCTGGCAGCCATTAAAAATATAAGGGTTAAACTAATGTCCTGACAATGTCCTGACAGATATTCCAATGCTAATTTTGTTTTCATTATTTGAAGATTTGGCTTTATATTTGGAGCCAAGCAAGAATACAATATTAATTTAATAAATATAAGGGAAAAAAAGAAAAAAAATATTTTTAAGAGTTAGATAACTTGACTTGATCAACTTCGAAATTTTTTTTTTAAAAATCGTACGAGATTTAACGAGAGTGACGAAACTTTTTAGTTTGATCATGTAGAGAGAGTTATCGTTCTTTATGTCAATTCGATGCTTCAACCATAAGTGCCAGCTAAAGCTGGCATATTATTTTGTGGACTTTCTTCGTTTTCTTAGTTTATAGTCTTTTGCTAGTTTTTCTTCGACTTATAATTTTTTATTGTTCCTTTGAGTCTGATATCTCTTTCTGTATTAGACCAGCACGCTTAGTTGCATTTTTAATATGCTAGATCCCAAGGTTACAGTCCGCAGTGAAACATATCATCCTACGCAGACACATTATTCTAATTACAAACCAATCTGAACAGTTGATGCTGCGAGAGAAGCAAAAAATACCATTTACAAGTGTTTGGTGGGATTCATCAGGGAATCAAACCTATGACCTCCTGTATCCGAGGCTTTGACTTTAAAAAAATTGTCTACCATGTTATTGAAAGGTTTAAAACAGTTGTTACAAATTGGCAAAATCATAGAAAAAATAGAATGAAGCATTGATAAAGTTATAAGAACTACAGTTTGTGTCTTTTATATTCTTACACTGTATTATGTGTTGACTGTCCATCCCTTAACAGCACCAATTTAGCATTGTCGGGAGTTTGATGTCACACATTGACCAACAGCTGTAATGTAGTAATCTAATATGGTCAAAAATCCTCCCCTGACCATACAGTCTAATATCAGAGAAAATAAAGAGTAACCAGCTGTATGTAATTATATGTAACATCATTTTGACTATGAAATAATAATTATCTTTCATTTTTAAATAGAAGTACAATGTATATGGTACTTGAATACAGAAACCTAAAGATGTGCAATAAAATATTTTTTCATACAAAGACATTATCAAGACAATTCCCTTCAGAAAAAAACACTGTCCCGCATAATTTTTTAGGCATAGGAGATAAAAAACAAATAACACAAAAACACAAAAACTGTTTACATGCCTAAATTTCCCATAAACAGAAGGCATGCTCATCACCTGAATGTAGAATACCATTTGCCGAAAGACAAAAAGAAAAGCACTTTCACTATTATCCAGGTGATTGGTCTAGAATCAGTATTGTTGTCACTGTTACAGGTGTCAGGTTCAGATACATATCATTCTTGCCTATATAAGAACATTTGTTAGAGGCTTTCAAGGCTGCTCTGTCTAATTTATTCCTATATTTCTTCACTTTATTTACCTCCGTAGTTATATAGAATACTTTTGATTGCAATATAATAGGATATAACCACATTATTTATTATGTGGTCAGAGATTAACAGATGATTAAAACATTAGCTTATCTCATATACACTATAAATAGAGTATTTACCATGTGGTTTTATTTACATGATTTGATTATTAATTTACCTACTGTTGTGACAAATTTTTCAGATAAATACTTAAAAATAATGTAATAAAAATATGTCACTACAAAATCGTTGTAGGACTGTAGTGCTACCTTAAACTGACCTGATCAAAAACGTTAACAAAAAGTCATGTAAATAATTGCATTCGGGATACGGGATATAATCTCTATGGTCGTGAGATATGCTAATGTTAATGTCATCTGTACTATTATTTGTCTGTTTGTCTTTTTATTTTTGGCCATGGCGTTGTCAGTTTGTTTTCGATCTATGAGTTTGACTGTCCATCTGGTATCTTTCGTCCCTCTTTTAATGCAACTGCATACCAAACATCATTGTCTTTAATTAGTGGTTCAACTTAAACTCACATAATTATAAACTTTCACATTTAAACTAAGCAAAAGTTTCAAAATCAATCGACAATGACAATGACAATGACGGGGCCAAATAATCTCCAAGGAAATGAGATATTGCAATGCTAGGACAACTGCATAACAAGTATCATTGCCTGATCATTAATTGTTCATCTTAAACTGATACAATAAAAAAAGATTTAACAAATTGTTCACAATGCTAGAACAACAAGTCCATGTCCCACCTCCGCCACTTCGTCGAGGCGAGACAAAAAGAGACAGGTGAAATAGTGACATGACTTTTCGAAGGTTAAAACATTTGTCAGCTGTTATATGTAAATAAAGGCAACAGTAGTACACCGATATTCGAAATTCATAAATCGATTGAGAAAAAAACAAATCCGGGTTACAAACTAAAACTGAGGGAAACACATCAAATAAAAGAGGAGAACAACGACACAACAGAAACACAACACTAAAATGCAACACACACAGGAACGAACTATAATATAACAATGGCCATTTTCCTGACTTGGTACAGGACATTTTAAGAAAAAATGGTGGGTTGAACCTGGTTTTGTGGCTAGCCAAACCTCCCGATTTTATGGCAATGTTAAATATAACATTAAAATGACAAGATTAATGACAAGACTACAATACAAATAAATGGGAGAACATACAGGACAGAGACACACACAAATAATAGCTATCAAAAGGTACCAGGCTTATAATTTAATAACCTATACAAATTTTAAACGTTTCATTTACATTTTTTACTAAGAAATATTTTGTAACTCGGATACAAGATACAATGATTATTCATTTGTTAAACCGTTAAAATTACAACATTACAAAGCATCTAATATCTGATGTGACCTAATATATATAACAGATGCATTGTGATATATATTAAAAATAGATACCAAACATTCATGGAAATTTCATGGAATGTGTTCATGCTAAGAACGGATAAGATATTGACATGAACTGTATACATCTGGTTAAACATGAACCATGATTTCTTTTTATTCAACCGGGGATCTAAGATCATTGTGTGTCTTTATGTTATGTATCTACAAATGCCGTCTTGGTATTTTTTATCTCAAATTTAATTAGGTATTTGGACTTGTAGCACTGTTTCGTGAACAGGGCGTATGCATATAATGTTACTAGTAGGTTGTCGGTCAGTTGAAAAGCAAAATGCCGTACTACAAATTTGTCAACTCGAGCAAGCTGCAATGCTCTAGGCTTGATATGTTTTCACCTATATTCTTTAGAAAGCATCTTTTTGGTAGAAAAATCAAAAAATTATGAAGTCACTATCTTAAAATTTGTCAAGAAAAAAAAAAAGAATAAAAAATAGTTAAATATCTGGCCAGCGGGTACGACAGAGGACGATCTACCTCGAAATGTTCAAGTAACAATGCCACAATTTTGGAGTATAACACAAAATCTTCGCTTGGTCGGTACTTTAAAGGATTATACACAAGAAAATCATTTCTTTAGAGTTTACTTCATCCTATCAATAGAATTCTTTTCTTTCTCTCCGCTTCATATATCCCCATATGATTTTCGATGTGCAAGCTTAAGGTGAAGCGGGAATTTGAGGTATAATTTGCAATTATATGTTCACATTGTATTGATTGTTTATACTTTCAGGTAAAAGAATTACCAGAAGATGAGAAATTCTCATGTATTTACAAAGTAAGTCCATTCAAACAAAAGAAATCATAGTTCTATACATTGTATAAGCATATACCATAGAGTGTTAAGATGGGCTGGTGCAGGAGGGAAAGTCAATTCCACATCAGTAAAAAAAAGTAAAGTTATACTAGATAATATAAAATCCAGCAGAACATACTTTTTTGTTTAACATCTGTTAGACAAAACAGAACATTTTGACCAGGTAATTTTCTTTTTTCCGCAACTCCAGCAATAATCTAGTCTGATATTTCCGGGGATTACATTACATATTTGGTGTTAATAAACTATTATATCCTTTTTAGATATAAAAGCGAGTGTTCTAAGGGAAATGAAATACTCATTTAGTCTGCTTTCTAATAAAAAAAAAAAAATAAAAAAATAATTAAAAACCAATTGTTCAGAGAACAATTGAAGGTCTTTCAATCCCTAACGATATATTTTGTGATATAAAAATATTAAAATTCGGTTTAAAAAGTCAGTTCCAGTGTTAAATGATATCTCATTGTTTGCTGATTCCAAAAATATATGGTTTCTATACATTTTGTTTTTAAATAAGGGAGGTAATTTGTTACTTCAAGTCTGAAGAATGTCATTTCCGGTATTATTTGAGAGTTAATTTGACGCTGTTTTTAAACATAAACTGTTCTCTATACTTTTACATGAAATAAGTACAAAAAATAGCTACTTCAGGTTTATACAAGGTCACTTCCGGTTTGATTTTTCAAGGTCATATGTCTTGTAACATAATGCATAATGTCCTAAGGGTTTATGATGTCTAAATGTGAATTTAAAGCAAAAGTCAAAATCTACAAGGTCAAATTTACCTATAACCTTGACCTCAATTTCAAGGTCATACATCAAGGACCTCAAATCGAAAGACCCTAGATCTTTATTATATATTGTTAATGAGTTATACCATGATACGCGTAATATTAAATATACGAGGAGCGAAAACTCTAATAAAATGTTTACGTACCCTTTCAACTAAAATTTAACGCAATATCGCAACTAACAATTCTGTAAAAATACTTTGTCGATATCTTATACAATTTCTGAAAATAAGTGATAACAATCCAGAATCAAAATTTAAAATATGACCTTGACCTTTGACCTTGACCTTATTTTCTTTTTTTTTTTAACTTAGGACCTCAAATTCAAAGACCCTAGGTCTCTATCACTTATGGTTTGCCAGTTAGAAATGCATATCACTTATATCAAATGCATAAGTGGCAATAACTCTCATATGAAGTCTCCGGATAGCTTCGGCCAAAATTAATCAAAACATCCTAAGGATATAACGAGCTATTTGGTAAAATAAATTTGTCGGTTTTTTATACGGTTGCGAAGTTTTATAAATAACAAGAAAAACAGTGTTCGGGAAGATAACTCTTACATGGAAAAGTAATCGGTTAAGCGATGTCAGTTTCAAAAGCGTATAAACTGTTCGATATCATATACCAAATGTCTAAGCGACATATTGCGAAACAACCAAACAGCGAAGGAAAACAAATAAGGCGGAAGAAAAAAAAACAAAAAAAAAACCAATTGTTCAGAGAACAATTAAAGGTCTTTCCACCCGAAACGATATATTTTGATGTGAAAAAATCAAAATTTAGAATATGACCTTAACCTTTGACCTTGACCTTATTTTCTTTTTTTTGGACCGAGGACCTCAAATCAAAAGATCTCATGTCTCTATAAGTTATGGTTTTTCAGTTACAAATGCACATCACTTATATCAAATGCATAAGGGGAAATAACTTTCATATGGAGTCTCCGGATAGTTTCGGTCAAAATTAATCAAATCATCCTGAGGATATAACGAGCAATTTGGTAAAATAAATTAGTCAGTTTCTTATGCGGTTGCGACGTATAAGTAATAACAAGAAAAACAGTGTTCGGGGAGGTAACTCTTACATGGAAAAGTTTTTGGTTACGCGGTGTCAGTTTCAAAAGCGTATTAACTGTTCGATATCATATACCATATGTCTAAGCGACATCTTGCGAAACAAAAAAACAACCGAAGGAAAAAAAATTAGGCGGAAGAAAAAAAATAATAATCAGAACAAAACCTAATAATTATAATAATAATCAGAACAAAATCAAAAGGTCTTTCCACGGAAAGGTGGAAAGACCTAATAATAATAATAATAATCAAAACAAAAGCAAAAGGTCTTTCCACGGAAATAAAAATCTGAGCTGGTGTTCTATCACATGCCATAGAAAACCCTTAATATTTCCATATCGAACGATTCGACATTTATCTCTGGTAAATTTGCATAAAATGACAGTATCAATGATGTGTTGTCAGCACAGACATGTTGGTGGTCTGATTGGTTATACCTTTGGAATCAAATGTCTGTCAGTGGTGACGTCGACCAAGTGTAAAATCTCATCACAGATACAAGGTTTATAATTTAGTAATCTAGTCTACACCAAGTTTATGCTTATCAGTGGCACTTGAGTAAAAAAAGTTTAAAAACCAAAATCAGAAATTAACTTGAAGAGCACGGAACATTAAGCCTCATAACGGAAGTCTTCTTTCCTTGAGGCAAAAAGAAAGCGAGAAGCCCGAATGTGTAGTCTAAAAGCAAATAATTTACCAAAGAAGTCCGGATGTAGGCCGTTTTTTGCTGAAATAGCACTGAACAAATAAACTTTCATTTCTCCCTCTCAGGATTAAACATAATTTTGTTAACATTTTTATAAAATCATTTGCGTGCCATCTTCGTGGAATATGAATGCCTGATTTAAATTATGATTTAAAAGTTAAAAAAGTAAATAAATCTAAATGATCGAGTTAATCGATAGCAGATTTTTTTCATGCTTTTCATTTTGAGATATAAATACTTTTGCACACTTACAGCATTAAAGCTTACATTTTCTGTGTCATTTTAAGCATCTATGAAATGTAAGGAAAATGTGTGCGTTGAGATTAATTCTCCACGTAATTAGATTAAACGACGCTGTTTCCTTTTCTTGATGGTTCTTCAGGGTTGAATATGGATTTCGATGTTGTTTTAATTTGGATATTCGACCGTTGAATTCAAATGGTAAATTATACCCTGATTCCAAAGTAAAACAATAATTGCTATGTTGACTAAAAACCTTAACTGTTTTTTTGTACGAAGACGTTGCAAACTTATCTTATCCTAGCTAGAGGTAAGCTCTATATACACTGATCTTATATAGACATGATAGATACAGAGACATGTCATAATTAGCCAAGATTAAATTCGACTTATGAGTTTGAATGTCCCTTTGGTATCTTCGCCTCTCTTTAACAATCATATGACAACGTTTTGTGATTTATTTGTCAAATTTGTATTTTAGAATATTATTTGAATGAAAAAATATAAAGCGTCAATAAATTTATGAAATGGAGTCAATAGATTTTTGTCCAGGTCATTTTAGTTTATAAATATTTCAAATGAATTAAAATTTCCATGTATTTCTTTGTATAATGTTTATTCATTTCTTTATTTGTGTATTTAAATACATAAGTATCTACAGCTTTGGACTAAAATGTGAAGGCTAATATGTATTTATTTGAACATGAATGACATGTAAAAATGACTATGACAAATTAGTTGCCAAAAAATTACGTTTTATTATTTTTCTGTAACACAGTGCCGCTTAGAAATTGAAACGATATTGAATGAAGCAGCAAAATTTTGTTTGGTGAAGTGTAATGGAAACGAATGGAAGGATTTCGATGACGTCAAAAATATGTATACACTTTTTGGATGTCCGAGGGTAACTACTCAAGGATAATGTTGTAAATCTTATACTAAAAAATGTTATATCGTATAATATTAAATGTTGCCTAATGAGATGGTTAATATCTGACTTGTTATAGAGAAAAAAAATATTATGTGATTTATTTAAAAATACTAGATACAATGTAGTAACTAGCGCAAATGCGGGTACAAACTACACTTCGAAAAATATCTATGAAAACAAAACACAGCCACACCATTTATTTGGTAGTTTGTTGGAATAGTTGATAAACATGAGGACGATTTAAATCAGCTTCCGTTGATTCTCTCAATAGCCTAAGTAGCTGAGTTGAAGAGGACAAAAGAAGAGTCAACAGACGTTTGCTGTGAATGGCGATTAATTTGAGCTTATCAATTAATTTCATGGCATTTCGTTTGATTTCATATGTCACTACCATGTGGCGGACCCTGGGTTTCAAAAGGAAATTACGGTATGGGGTTTTCTCATATTTGAAGGCCGTACGGTGACCTACAATTGCTTTTATCTTCGTCATTTTAATGCTGGTGGATAGTTGTCTCATTTGGCAATAATACCACATCTCCTTATGTTTATATTAGTAGACATATTTAAGTAATACCACCCTAACTCCGGACATCATGCATAGAATCATAATTGAATATGTATAGAGAATGTGTTTAGTGAAGAATAAAAGAAAAGTGTTAGTCCAACCGTAATTAAACGTTATACATATATAACCATTATATTCACATGAAAATAAGATAAACAAACTTAGTGATATTACTATTGTATATTTCGTCAACAGGGCTCAAAATACTTTAATAATGATGAAAGCTTTGGAAGACAGAGACTGAATGGGTTAAACCCGTCACTTTTAAAACTGTGTACTGGGATACCTGGAAAGTAAGTGTAATCTTTCAATAGTTCATGCAAAGCTTGCTTGTAAAAATGTGAGTGTTAGTGCCTTTATGACATAATCAATGTATTATTGTCTTTAACTTTATAAAATAAATTTGAAAGCCATTATGTAAGTACCACTTTGGTTTAGTGACAAAAAGTAATTTTTTATAAATATAGATGAAAAAACCGAGTCATTGTTCTTATTTTCTTGAAGCCTGATTATACTTGCGTACCTGTCTTACCAACACATACAACTTTATTTATTGTGTCTGAAACGGCATACAAAAGCGAATAATATTCAATTCATATTAAACGTCAGTCGCAAAGGATCTAGTTCTTCAGTAACACACTTTTCTGGTATTGAAAAAAACATAAAAAGGGTATCTGGAATCCCCAAAAATACTGGACAGTACACAAACCTCAAGAATCACTAACACCCGACGCTTCTAAAAAACAAACATTCATAAATCAGGCCGTTAGTTCCCTTTTGATATGTGCAGCATTGTGCCATATACAAACAACAAAGAACAAAATTCAGTCTAGAGAGCCCTACTTACTTGATAGTATATCAGATAACAAAACAAAATCAAAATCAAATAATATAAAAAAAGGATAAAAAAAATGATTAACACTTAAGCTATTTTAGGTGTCCGAAGCAGGAACGCTCAAAAACAGAACTTGAAGAGCTGGATTGATAAATACCGAACAATGCTAATTAAGAGCTATTACCAAAGGGACACATAAAATGTATGGTTGCAAATAGAACAACTATAACTGAGTCAAAATGGAAGAAAAAAGATGTAAACAATTACAGATAACCGTATAATCTTTATCAATGAGCAAACCAATTATGTATAGTAAGCTATAAACTGGTCTCCTTTAGTCAACCAGTTATGGCAGACACCAAAAATAAACAGTCACGTACTAGTTACAGTCTCCTGGCTTCGGACAGGCACATTAAAAATGTGGTGAGATTTCTTGTCATAAAGCACTCCTCTGACCTTAGACAGTGGTGTAACAACAGAAAGTAAAAATAAACTTTGAGATCAACTAACAGACTGACTCATCAAATCAGTACTAAGCACAAAAACAAATTACAAAAAGACACAAGAAACAAGGTATTGAAATATGATTTCTCACGGTAACTAAACCCTAGTTCAAAGCTCATTTTTAACTAAAAATTAGCTATGGTCTATATGACCATGACTACAATACAAATCAGTAAACATCAAATAGAGTTAATATATAGAAGTCTTTAGCAGTCTTAGAAAGGACGATCTTGTGCAATGCCAAAATATTAGTATCTACAGGATGTAGAAGAATAAGTTTTAATACATGTAGAGTGGGGCGCACATATACGCCGGGGACACAATTTCGCCGTTTTATGATTTTGAGGTGTAGAAACTTCAAAGGATTGCTGAAATGGAAGAAATATGCCGGTAAATTATATTTTTATAACAAATATGATTATTTTTTAAACTTAGAAAACATTTCGGTACTTACCGCAATGGACAGAAAAATGGACAACGATTTTCGGCCAATTTCCTGAATGAAAAAAAAATTCAAAGTAGTATTTCTTAGTAATTCTTTGACTGATTGCCCTAAATTTCTGTTCTTTACACGTTTGAAATGTCTGCTATTCATCTATAATGAAATTGATTTGATAAATATTGTTTAAAGCTGCAGTTATTTGGTTTTAAATAGATGTGTAAAAACGGCGAATATGTGTCCACCATGACAAAACATCAGGAAATTTCAAATAGCCTTTAATCTAACTTTTCAGATGAATTCTTTCAGAGAAACACGTTTTCAAGCTAAGAATATTTTGCTTTTGATGTAATCTTCATATAGAAATATCAGTATACTTCAAAAACTTAAAGGTCTGAGCATAAACTGCAGAAAACATGGAAAATTATGGCGAAAATGAGCACCCCACTCTACATCAAAACATGTTTTGTTATGTAATAAACCTTACGAAATAAAATAAATCTAAGACCCGATAAAGACAAATGATAACCTTCAAAAATGAGCTTATTTGAAGAATCAATAACTAAATATGGATATTTTCTTTCATGACGACTTGTTAAATCGCAACCACCATCAAACTTTGGATGTGATATTCCTTGTACAATAAAATTTCTACAGATCTCAGATACTAAAAGTAATCTATATGTACATGACCTTTCAAATCATACTACCTTGCACTCTACTATTGATTGATTTACTACACAATAGATTATGTACAGCAATGTTATAAACAGTACAGTAAGATATGATCTTTTGCAATGCAAAGAAAAAAACGTTTGTCTTTGTCCAAGGTTAGAGAGCGGGTCGAGCGTCCGTAAAGATGTTTAAACCCACCACATTATGTTTGTTCCTGTCCCAAGCCAGAAGCATGTAATTTAGTTCTTGTCGTTTGTTATATATCATAATTGGTTTTCGTTTGTTGTTTTCTTTTTAAAATTGTTTGACATTTTGTCATGTCGGGCCTTTTAAAGATAATATGTGGAATAAGTTTTGAAAAGTGTCTCTGGTAAATATTTGTCTATTTGGCAGTCATACCACATCTCATTATGTTATAATGTACAGAATTTTATTACAGAAAAGCAAACAGAAAAGTACGTGTTGCTGCACACTATAGATACTAATAAATAAGCAAATTAATGTTCATCCCCCAAAATGATACCCCATGATTGAATGACGCTAACACCTGTATATTTAATTTTATGAATGGTAGTTTTATTACCGGGTGTGACATGCAATTTGTAATTCAATTCCTGCAGGCGGATTCATTCAACCAAAATCAATACCTATATTTATGATACAATTATGTAACATTTCTTACTACATTGTTGTATCAAAAACCCTACTGTACAAGTCTTTTGAGTTATAAGATATTACGTTCATTGCAATATCAGCCAATATTGCAAACTCGTGTATATAAAATTCCAAGTATGAATTTAAATCTAATGTATACTATGAGTATTATACTTTGTTCAGATAAGCTCTATACAAGGAAAAATACTTTAATTATATTCTATTGTTTAGAATTCTTTGATTTCATATTTCTTTTTGCACAGATTTGGAGTGACAGAAGATATAATCCGACCGTTCTTAGAAGGCAAAACAATGAAACAAGCAATGGACGGTAACAGGCTGTTCATTATAGACTTGGGGATATTAGAAGACTGTCCAACTCTGCGACAATACATTGTTGTAAGTAGGAAAGCTAAAGTGTGTTGTAATTATAACAATCGACAGAGATAAAAATGTCTTTGTCTTCAGTTTCTATTGTCATTGTTTAAATTAGTTTTTGCTCGAACGACTTATTTATGCATGGTATCAGTTTTGATCCCTTACACGTTATTCCAAATAACTATTACTACCATTATTCTTCACGTCAAAATTCCAGATTTTGATTGGATAATACGAGAGTGATAATTTACTCTTTCCCATGTCTCAGCGGGAGACAATTTTTTGAATGCCAACCTCTCGTGCAGACCAATCGAAATCGATAATTTAAAGGACAATGAATTGAATTTACATGAATAAATTAAAGACAATTTTCAAGCTCAACGTACGTTGTGGACTCAGCAGAACTTTTTATAGACTGTCAAAGTAATAATAAATTGTCTTGCTTCACTTCTGTTGTTTGTCTAATAACGTTACGTTGTTGTGAATGTGACGTAATAATTAAGTACTTTCTATTTAAAATTGAGCAGTAAAAGACAATTATAATGATTGAACATTCAGTATAATAAATTAATTAGCACTTGGTTGAGAGGGTGATAGAGCAGAGGTACCCTTCGAAAAAGCATTGTCAACCTCGGCTTCGCCTCAATTGACAATGTTTTCTCGGGGAAAAAATCTGCTCTATCCTCCTCTCAGCTATGTGCTATTTATATATTGTCCCACTATCAAGGTATTGGAGTCAATTGTATTTCGATGAATATCATTGTATGCGACAACAACCTTTTGCGATTAAACTAGGATGCTTTTTTGTTAGTGATTGCAAATATTAAAAGCAATACAATAAATGCATCGTCACTTCCATCTTAAATCAGGGCAATAGTTATTTACCGCCGCTTAAATCTCGTAAATTTACCTTTACTCATGTAAACGTACTTTCTATATCATTGTTATTGTATATGTAGTTAGACACTCAATTCAGTATAAGATCGATTTTCTTGTTTAAAACAAACATTAATGTGCATATTACTAATTGAATTTAATGGAAAAAAGAAGGTGACATTGTTTATGCTGGTTTACCTATTCATTCGATACGTGTTTCCAAATAAATAAATTTCTTTAATTCATTTTTTCAAATCTAAAATACATGTGATACTTTAGAAATATACGGCAACATATCACAACTGGTAAAAGGGAGGCGAAAGATACCAAAGGACATTCAAACTGAAAACCCGATTATATATCTGTTGATTTTTACTCTGACATTGTAAATCTACTGTAAGAGTGATTTAATCATTTTAAAAAGGGTATTCAAAAGTATAAACCAAAAAATACAAAAGTCTGATTTTCACAATAATTACAGTTTACATTTATAGATTGAAAAAAAAAACCTATGATGCATGGAATAGTATCAATTTATCTTTCAGTTTGAAGTCATTATGACTGGTCTTTTAATATTTTGTTTTTATGTTTTGATGCTCTTGTACGTATTCGGCTTCTTAAACGTTTGGTGTACCAAATGGAGGTTATTCTATAACACGTGTTGTGCGTACTGAAGCCTGAATAGTTCAATTGATATCATAATCAGTTCTTGTTTTAGGCACTAAATATCTTGAAAAGTAATGTATCAGAAATTTCTAAAAGAACTAAATGTTAAAGATACACAGTAAGACTATGAATATAACAAGTGTTGTAGACTAACACAAGTTATCCTGGACCATGGTCAATGATAATATTGGCTACGAACCCTAATTTTAAATATTATGTGAAAAAGATTGATCTTAACTTTTATAAAAAAAAAACAACATGTACTGATAATGAAAACAAATGTATACCTGACAATTTTTCCCTTTAGTCGGTGGTTGATAACATCTTACTATATTCTCGAGCTCATAAATGACATATGTATATAGTTTGCATTTGTTGTTATTCCTGTAAACGAGTCGCTTGTCTGGATTTACCTTCACCAGGAAATTTTAAACTCAAACATATGAAAGCCAATGTGGCTAAAAACTTGAATACGTGAATAACTATATGACCAAAAGTTCCTAAAGAGAAAGTCCAAATCAACCTTATGTCAAGTTTGCAGGAGGGAGTTGAAACATTAGTTTCTTATTTATTTCTAACATAATCAACAGAAAACTAAAGAAAAGAGTGTTATAAACTAATTTAATCATAGTCATGAAAAAGCTACGACTACTGAGCTGATGAGGCCCTCGTGGACTAGCAGTCGAGCAGTAGCAGTATCACACCAGTGATAGATAGAGAGATAGATACTTTATTCTCTAAAAACTAAATACAACTTAACAGAGAAAGTACAATATAAATACAAATACAATAGTTGAGGGTAAACAGATAGAGTACGATGCTAGAAAAACGAAAATAACACTTTATACAACTTAATTAATAATTTGATATGACCCCTCTATCGCCATGACTAGAATTCCTCTTTAAATCATGACGTTAACATTTACAACACATCACAATGTTTTCACAATGTAGGAATATGACAAAAAGTTTCGTTACTGAAACGGAAGAAGATATCTTCGAGGCAAACGACAATAGACAAATAGTTAAAAGTGAACCATCCATTCGAAAATTTACGGACGCAATCACGAGTGGGTTGACCGTTATGCAATTTATATTTCACAGATGAAGACGGATATGTTCCAATTGTTGTTACCACAATCCATCTTCTTTTCTTCGAATATGATATACCGAATATGACTTATCACCTGATTTGTACTTTAATGAGCAACACAACGGGTGCCACATGTGGAGCAGGATCTGCTAACCCTTCAGGAGAACATGAGATCTTCCCTTGTTGGTGGTGGGATTCGCGTTGCTCAGTCTTTAGTTTTCTAAGTTGTGTTTTGTGTACTGTTGTTCGTCTACTGGTCGATTTTTGTTTTTTGCCATGGCATTGTCAGTTCATTTTCGACTTATGATTTTGAATATCCATATGGTATCTTTCGCATCACTTTTGTACAAACATAACCGAAAAGATCACAAAAGACTATACATTTTTTACAGATTTCACGAACTCAACAAATTGAGCCAAACTACGTTATATATATTTTTTTTAATTCTTGCAGATGACATGTCCATTTGCTCTATTTTATTTTAACGATTGCAAACGTCTTATGCCAATAGCCATACAGCTATTTCAGAAAGAAAACCAGTGTTTCCCGGTAAGTGATGGATTCATTTCCTTTCTTATACAATTTTTTCAGATTATTCTACATGAATATTCATTAGATATAGACTTTGAAAAAAAGGCATGGTTTCATTAATGAATTTTTAAAAAAACAATCATGTGCAGTATTTCTTGATCATTCGTAATCCTACTGATTCGTGCAAGGATATTTTTACCTTTTTGTGAGCATTTCATTCTCTGATTTTGTCATTTTTATAAACCAGATGGAGGGATTTGCCCGATTTAGAGAGAAAAAATTAAAAATCTAGAAACATAATAACAAACATCTGAATACAAAATAAAAATCTAAAATGACAATGGACGGTAGATGATTTCTCTTAGGGATGCTTCAAATGATTTACTTAACGATTTAGGGAAATTATCATACTACTAGTATTCCATAAACAAATTGTTTGATATTTCGGTTAAGACATTGCTAGTGTCATATTTTCTGGAATAAAAATTTGATTTGTATTTTGAAGAATAAAATACAGATTTCGGGTTCTCATATTTCCATGTGGTAGATTATTTTCTAAACTATGAAGCATTTGTACAACGTGTATTTCTTATTGATATAACAGGTGTTCTTACCATCAGATCCAGAGTATACCTGGATGTTGGCAAAGATGTGGTACAGCCTGGCTGATTCTACATATCATCAAGCTCTGACTCATCTAAGTATAAACAATTAGCCAGTCTAAACATCTGTTATTACAATATCTTGTCCTAGGTCATAAATTTATGATTGATTACATGTGGAGCAGGATCTGCTTAACCGTCATGAGCACCTGAGATCACCCCCAGTTTTTGATGGGGTTCGTGTTGCTCAGTCTTTAGTTTTTTGTGTTGTGTTTTGTGTACAGTTGTTTGTCTTTTTCTTTTTTAGCCATGGTGTTGTCAGTTTATTTTTCGACTTATGAGTTTGAATGTCCCTTTGGTATCTTTCGCCTCTCTTTTATAAGGATATGAATAAAATACAGAATTTCCTTTGCAACATGAACCGGTAATGTCTTATCTGTAATTAAGGATACGTGAGATATGAGAAAGGAGATATATGAAAAAAAACAAGAAGTATTAGTGACTGATGTATTAGAAATATCATATGTATCATCAAGACGATAACGTGGAATGCCATATGAGTAAGACCTTGATTTGTACTAGACCGAATCAAACGATAGTTGATTTTATAATTAAGTGTTAAAAACATGGTAACAGAACTTTAGTTGAGGAGTTTGTAAAACTGATAAATTGTTTTTTTTTCTTTTTCAATCCCAATTTAAACTCTCGTATTCGTAATGTTTATATCATGATTTTCACAATAAAACTGTGCTTACACTAAACCAGAACTTCTTTATTGCATTCCAAATTTTAAAAAAAATTGTAAATGGTGAGCTGTGTAAATTTCTACTTATTATATACATTGATAATCCTTTATGTGAGGATTTCATTGTTTATGGATTCTTGGTTAACTAATATATAGTTTTAAATGCGAGTACAATATGTCTACCCTAATTTCTGTCTTTTGATAACTGAAAATCAAAGTTTTATAATACTAATAATATTTTTCATTTCACTTCAGATTTTACTCATTTGATGATGGAAGGTATAAGCGTTGCAGCAAAGAGGAACCTTGCACATTCACATCCAATTATGAATTTACTAAATCCTCATTTTCTGTATCTCATGGCCATAGATAGGTACTAGTTTTCTTTCAAACGTAGCGTCGAGAACATTTACTTTTTGACAATATATTCAAAGACTCACACTGAAGTGAATAAATTCTGTTAAATAGAGGTAATAGTGGTATACAGCTGTTCATATCATAAATCGATTAATCGAAAAACAAATCCAGGTCACAAGCCAAAACCGAGGGAAACACATCAACTATTAAATGTGATATGTTGTCCTTTTATAAAATTGAGAATGGAAATGAGGAATGTGTCAAAGAGAGAACAACCCGACCAAAGAGCAGAAAACAGCCGAAGGTCATCAATGTGTCTTCAACAGCGAGAAAATCCCGCACCCGGTGGCGGGCTTCAGCTGGCCCCTAAACAAAAATGTGTACTAGTTCAGTGAAAATCAACGTCGCACTAAACTCCAAAACATATAAATGAACAAAATTAAAAAAAACATACAAGACTAACAAAGGCCAGAGGCTCCTGACTTGGGACAGGCGCAAAAATGCGGCGGGGTTAACATGTTTTGTGAGATCTCAACCCTCCCTATACCTCTAGCCAATGTAGAATAAACAAACACACAGTAATATGCACAGTAAAACTCAGTTTAAAAGAAGTCCTGATGTCAGAATAGGTAACAAAAGAAACTAAGCAAAATGACAATGATACATAAATTAACAAAGGACTACTAGCAGTTACTGACATGCCAGCTCCAGACCTCAGTTAAACTGATTGAAAGATTATGTCTTCATCATATGAAAATCAAGCACAATCCCTCCCGTTAGGGGTTCAGTAACATACCATCATAAAGTATATGAGAAGAACATAACTCGTATCATGCCAACAACTGGTTTTCGAATAAATGTGTTTATTTTTGATGCAATGACCCTATGAGTGAATCAATATTAATACCAAAATATGCCATCTTTATAGTATGCAATTCATATCTGGCTATTGATAAAATAGCAATAAAAAAGGTAATGACACAAATTAAGCAAAACAAGTCTGACAATTGTTTACATCTGTAAGCAATAAATTGTAAACAATAAATATAAAATAGGGAACTTTATAAATACTCAAATTTCCAACACAAAAAGAAATGTGGTATATTCATATCAATATTGCAAAAAAATGGTTATATGTGTACTTCTCAATATGTTCACCTTGGCGAAAACAAAATTTGTCCCACGCATAATTAAGCACGGGTCAAATATAAATTCGAAATTGTTCACACTTGTTTTCCACTTTGTCAAATATAAACCAATTGATAAATGATGAAAGAGCGATAGGCGCGTATGAGTTAAAAAAATATACCATTGAAATGTCTTCTGGTAGGACTGTCTTATCTGTAGCACTTTTTTTTGAATACAAACAAACACTTACAGTTTGCCATTCATATCTTTGGACTGTTTTCTCAGTATTCACATACTTTTTGCATTAATTCTATGCAATACATTGTCATAACCAAGACAATTCAGATAAATAAAAAGTAGATTCACGTTGATTACATCGATATCGAATGCAAATTGATATGTTTTATCAAGTTTACGTAGAGAATAAAACAAAAGGCCGATTAGTGGTCTTTACTTTTTACTTCCAGTTAAATAATCGAATGATATCTTATCAGATCTTAACTTCATTTTAACTGAGGAATATGCAACATTATAAATAGTTTCGAATAGTGAGCTGGTACCATTGCGTAAACATTGGTAATAGTGAATAATCATTATTCTTTCCAATACGACTTTTCAACTCTTCGCAGAACATTCTTGTTGTATTCTAAAATGTTACTATTAATGATAGATGGATTGCTGTTTGCTTTAGTCCAGTGGCAAATAATAATAACGTGGAATATGATATCCTAATTCTAAGTACAGATTATCTAAGTGTCTGCATTGGATACCTTAATTTATTAGATGCGAGTCACAATATGAAGCTCATTACAGCAAACAACTGATATATTTCAATGTACTTAAACAGAAAGACCCAATAAATGTTTATTGTTAATATTCTGGTATTTACGCTTTCCTTGAACATTTTGTTTCACTTGGTTGTCTTACCAAAGTCTGCCTCATAACTTCTGCTCAATGTGACGTCACGGATGTTGTTTTTTTTTCATTAAGCTATTTTCTGTTGAAACGTCACAAAGACTTGATAAGATAATTGTAAAATATGAGCAATATACGGAAATTATAGATTTTTTAAAGTTAAACGAGTAATTAAGTTGATACAAGAGTTTTTGATCAACAGAAATAAAACTGCAATCAACTCTCATTATGCTTCAGCCTGGCACTCAGGACGTTGATAGAATTTGGAGGCATTATAGATAAAACTTCAAATGCAGGAATCAATGGCCACTTTCATTTGATGGAAAAGAGGTGAGAATATTATTTTTAAAAATCGTTTTCATTTATACATGTGATATGAATAAAAGTAAAGTTGTATTACCAAAACACTAGATGACTCTTGTCGACACTAACACATCGCCTGCAGTATTCTATAGTGTGTTCTAAAAAAAACGAAACCTTAGTGGTACTTCCAACGAGGTTTTCCTTAAATATCTGCATAAAACATTCATACAACAGGAATCGTCATGAATTTTCCAAATAATTCGCCAAATTGGGCAACAAGAAAAACGCAAAGCGTTTACAGACTTAGAAAATAATCATAATATATTCATAGCTTTAAACAAGTAACTTGTGAGCACATATGGACAGGTTGTATTTTCCTTCATTTATATACATCTTACTTCTGTGAGAACTAGCTCATACAGCTCTTTTAACGAATCTCGCATCTCGACTGAAGTGCTAGTAAATAGCAAATGATTGCAAAATATAAATTAAAGTTATTCATTGGGTGGTGTGCAAAATTAAAATAATATTTCATTTTCTTAAGTTTATTTTTTTTTACATTTCAGTATGGATTGGTGGAGTTTGGATTTACACGGAACTCTTCCAGAGGAATTGAAGAGTCGAGGGGTATGTTGAATGATTTTTAAGGTTAAACTTTTGTTATCTCTAGTTTATAATTATAATATCTTCATATCGATACAACATGCGGATAGGTATGTACGCTTTGCACTATATGTTGATAGTCAAAAAGAAGGAAAAAGATACCATTGGCACTTACAATCAAGTTTCATTAAAGGAACAGAGAAAACGAAAACAGAAGAAGAGCTAAAACACATATATTATAAACTTATTAATATGATTTTCTCTACATAAAAAAAATCCGAAAAAGCTTTTGACATTTGATTTATGAATAAAAGGAACTGAAAACCAATAACTTAGAAAGGTAAGGATGTAAATACACAAGGAACAATGCTGACTTCTTTTAATGCTCTCACATATCAATCTATGGCAATGTTCGCCAATATAAATTTGTTGAGCGGATATCTCATTGACTTTAAGCTTACCTATCGATTATATTGGTTAACAAGTTTTACATATCTATCGGATTAAAAAAAAAAAGAGTTACACATTTTTACATGGTAAGTTTTCGATTATTCAAACTGATCAGACTGTATTAACTGTTGCTAATTTTATGTTTCACATTGGATGTTCTTTTTTTGTCTGTGCTGATTGACCCCTATCATACGTTTGAATTAACATGTGTTGAACCATTCTTGTTATTCTATCAGAGGCCGTTTAATATTACAGAAACGTGACCGCACACACAAGCATGTAGATGCTCGATCAGTTCGTAATACTATGGTTAATGAATGATTTATGTTACAGGTACTTGATCCATCTATACTGACCGGCGCCTATCATATGAGAGATGATGCCCTTTTGTTGTATGATGCCATCAAAACTTATGTAGAAAAATATGTTATGCTCTACTATTGTAAGCTATTCTTTCAGCAAAATTTAAGCATCATAATGATTTGAGACCCGGTTTCAGTATTGTTGTTTTTATGAAGATCTTCATAAAAACAACAATGCTGAAACCGGGTCTCAAATCATTAATTTACAACCGATTACTAGGCATGTGTTCTTTTTTGACATTTGGAGATTTCCCAATGTGTTTTTAGTATATATAAGCAAATCGATTATAACGTCAAGTATTCATTTTGTGTAAAAGCTTTAGAGGCAGAAAATCGTTATGCAACCCGATTATTATTTCGAATGAACATAATAACAAATCGATTAACATTCATGGGTTAAATTCATAAATGAGGTTGATCATGTCTTGTGAAGTGCACGAAACCAACTAGTGAAATATAAGTATTACTTTTTAGAGGGCTGAATCAGAACATTTGGTACAAACGTTTCAAACAAGTGCAACAATTTTGTGGATTTCAATAAACTCACTATTGCAGAAAGGGTATTTAGTTGAGACCATGCCTAGATACTCCGCTGAGTTTTTGCATATTTGGGTTTAAAATTAGATTTCATTTGAGTTTGGAACCTGGACTCAGACAGGTTTTGTACATGTTTTAATATGTTAAGGTTGAAATTGGTTTAAAGCAGTTTCAGTAGAGATAAGATTGCGTTAATGGTAAAAACAATAACAAGCCGAGAATACCAGGATACCAAGGAGACATTAAAAAGTCGACGAAAAGACAAAAAAGTCAACAAAACAATGCATATTAACTAATTTATAAAAGGCTGAGCAACACAATCCTCATCAAAACCGAGGGAGTACACTCATGTGTTCCGAAAGGGTAAGCAGATACTTCTGTACATGTGACACCCGATATGTTGCTCATGGTAAGTTCACATCAATGATTTGTCTCATTCCACACTTAAGTGTAGGTTTTACAGATAGTGTTTGTTGTAACACTCATGTTTGTATCATTATTTTTATTTTTTTTCAAATCCAAGGAAACTGGAACGAACCCGAGTTTATAAAGAAGTTTCTGATCGATCGGATACATGTTACAATAACCCATATTCTTAATTAAAGAATGATCATGCTGAAAAGTGCAATAAAGATATGCCTAAACTTAAAAATATACGTTACATATTGGAGAACTCTTTTGTATAATTTATATCTTCAGACTCAATTGATACCATTTCCGAGAAGCATTTGTAACATTTATGTTTAATCCACCTACATTGTAGCATGTTATGGAACATGTCAGCATCATTCTGTTTCCATTCAGCTATCAACCTTGATGTATACTCCTAATCTGATTATATTGATATTATTGTGGTTTTTTTTTTTAAATAATTAGTGTGATTTAATTGTCGCTGGTGTAATCTCAAAACGTGTGATATTCGGCAGCATTTATGATTTTAAGACAAAACTCCACAAAAGACAGTATTATGTCGTTTCTATTTGTTTCATCATGGTTTCATCAGGAAAATGATTCACCCCCAGCTTTCCTAGATTTACTTTTAGAGGTCATTTTACATTATAATTTAACTATTTTCCTTTTATTAGCCTAAAGTTGAGAAATAAGAACCACTGTCAAAATAACACTTCAAACAATTAGATATCAACACAGTAGTGCATTCATTTCATGACATTAAATTGGTGATTGGTGTTGTTGATACATATAAATATATTATTTGCTTTGTTTAACTATGATTTATCTTTGAATAAAAATATCAATGTTTACGAATGTAGATTCTACTTACATAGTTCAATTAACGTATCATATAATAATTTACTAAACAGCCACAGAAGGTTCAATGACCGCTGATTATGAGCTCCAGAACTGGGGAGCAGAACTTGTAAAGTCCCGAACAGAAGGCGGAGTGGGAATTCGGGTTTGTAAATAATCGATCAATAACATTGATATACTACAAATACTACTGGAGTAGAAAACAATAATTGACGAATGAATGAATGACAAAAGACACCAAGAAAAGAAAGCCATAATGCTAGAAATATTGTTGATTTTTATAATTTAGTATCTTTTGATATGAGCAGACAAAATATTTTTGGAAACTTTGCATGAATTTATACACGAGGATGTTTCCCTACGAAAAATATTTCAGCAGGCAAAAGTTTCTGTTTTCAATTTCGGTAATTTTATGACGTTTTTTCATTTGAAAGCATTTGATGTTGCGTTTAATGAATATATTAATTTTTGCAGGGAGTCCCAAATAAAGGTAAATTCGTAACCACAGACCAACTCAATTTAACGTTGACAGCCATTATCTACATTTGTAGTGTTGGTCATGCCTCAGCCAACTTTCAGCAGTACGATGAATATGGTTCTCCATTTAATTATCCATATGCTTTGTCTGGAGATCCTCCTAAAGATAAGGCAAGTACAGTTCATGGTCAGAGATGTTACAGAATTTGACTGCAAGCATTATTTTGTATTGTAGAAATTATATTCGTCACATTTAAGGCTGATTTTAATTAGCATTATTTCTGTATTTCTCAGTTAAGAGTCCTTTCCGTATTGGCTTACTATTGTTGTTTTTTTTTTATATTCTTGTTTTAATAAAGAAAAAAAGGTTTTGAGAACGCGTGAGTGGCACATCAATAGAAAAATAGAAAAAAGACTTTTACACTTTAAGTTTTCCACCTTATCGAGATAAAGGAGCAGAGGTCTTAGTTCCGAAGTTTGGAAGATGTTGCTTAAAGTTTGGTTAATATTTAGCAGTTTTCCCCTTTTAAATCTGACACAGCTTAACCGAACTTTTTTCTTCGCACGAATTATTTATCCAAAAACTGTTTTAATTGATATCACTACCTGTTCGCATCCGTATACGATACCGCCAAATTGATAGTTAAACTCCCAGGGTGTCAGGAATAATTAATCAAAGCAATATACAGACACTATATCTCAATTAGCTCCTTTTACTTATTCGGCATAAGAGAAATGTAATTGTAACTTAAAAAACGTAAGTCATAGAAACGCAAGGTTTTTTTTTTTATTTGAGGTCCTTGGTACAAAAAAATAAAAAAGAATGGTACAAGTCAAGATCTTGTTCTAGATTTGGACTTTCCCTTATCCACATGCCTCAGAAACCAAAAAGAATTTAGACAAAATGATTATTTTAATAATAAGTTGCGATATGTTGTAACTGAAAAAGTGTTTGTCGAAAGGGTACAATGTCATTTGATAGAAGTTTTCAACCCTGGAAAGATTAAAATCAGATGCATGATGATATAACTATATAATTATACATTGTAGAAACTTAATATATTTTGAAGTATAATCAAATTTCAATAACTTCATACTGGTACCTGATTTATAATAAGCCATAAAGGTCTGTCGCATTAAGTTTGAAAACATATGACCTGGTAAAGGTCGACCGGAAATGATCTTATGTAACTTGGAAGTAGCATTGTTTGCACTTATTTCATATACAATTACCTAGAACCATATGTTTTTGGAACCTGTTTGAATAAGCTTTTCATTTGAATTCGGATGTGACATTTTGTAAACTGAGAGAAGTACATCATCAATCTAAAGTACATTCGAAACATTTTCTGAATCAGTATGAAGTAAGCTCTCAATTGACAATGGAATTGACTTTGAGTAAACTTGAAGGCACAAATTATATCCTTAATCTATTACAAAAGTACAATAAACTATGTATTTTTAAAATCATCGATAGATAAACTATATTGCGACACACGAAGTGTTATTTTACAGGAATTTTTCTTATCAAAAGTGAATTACAAATAGATGGAAAGACATTCATTTTTTCTCTGAACAGTTTGTTGGTTTTACAAGGTCTTTCTACCTTTCCGATGACAAAACTGTTTGACTTTGGTTTGATAATTATCTCAATCACCGTGGAAAGGCCTTTAGAAATTGTTCTGATTTTTTACGCCATTGTTGTGGCGCCTTGTTCTAATTTGATCAAAGCGATCCTTTGCTATTTTATCAACCCACATGTTGGTCTTGATCATTATCCGTAAGCAAAAAAAAAGACGTAGGGTATCTTGATTAGAAATCCTTAAGCCATAACTTGAAAATTGGGGTCATGGTTAAATATCTTGTTCTAAACTTTTACATTTGATCGGGTTAGCGTCTCGTCTTGGATTATGAAAGATATACTTTAAAGGAATAATCCGAAATGTTTGGGTTCGAACGAGAGAGATACGAAACATTCAGTCCGAAGTGGTCCAATGACTTCTTACATGAGTTATTGCCCGTGAAATATTTCCGTTTCCGGACAGGTACATCAAATAGCAATTGGGTCTTTTTGAAAAATGATTGGAGTCATGTACCCTGAACAGGTAAGAAAATTATATGTTTGGAATCATTGTGAAGTAAGCTATCATTTGATTAAACCGGAAGAAGCCGATAGCTGATTATCTGACTTTTCATCAGACAGATTATATCAATTAAATATTTTCAAACTAGTGTCAGCTAAGCTTTTGCCTGATGCTTAAGGTGACAATTTAAACCGCAAATATTTTTCTCAACTATTTCATAAAATTCAGGTACTTTTTTTATTTTCATTTGACACTTTCAGTGTCGTTTCCCTTTTAAATTAATATTAAGAATTTTCGACATTCTTTCTCGCTGATTGGCTTTATTTGTCATTCGACATTCTTTCTTGCTGATTGGCTTTATTTGTCATTCCACATTCTTTCTTACTGATTGGTTTTATTTGTCATTCGACATTCTTTCTTGCTGATTGGCTTTATTTGTCATTCGGCATTCTTTCTTGCTGATTGGCTTTATTTGTCATTCGACATTCTTTCTTGCTGATTGACTTTATTTGTCATTCGATATTCTTTCTTGCTGATTGGCTTTATTTGTCATTCGACATTCTTTCCTGCTGATTGGCTTTATTTGTCATTCCACATTCTGGAATTTAACTTTATATAGTTTTTGCAGAGTCCAGTCACTGAAGATTGTATCCTTCAGACTATTGCAAAAAGACCACAACTTTTAGAATTAATGGCGATCACAAAAGTTCTTAGTCAAAAAGCAACACAAAGTCTTGGTGATTTTGAGAGACAGATGATTGTGGATCCACCAGCAGTAGAAATTGTTAAAGAGTAAGCATTCATTTACTGTAGGTTTTAATCTTGAATCAAACAGATATACAAAAAAGACAGCTACTTAATTAGGGGTAGATGATCAATGATGAAACCATTACAAATGAACAGCTCGGTTTCTGTTTTTTGTCGTATGAACTTATTCTCGGTTTCTAGTTAACAAAGGTATTTTTAGATAACTACAAAAGAGGGGCGAAAGATACTAAAGGGACATTCAAACTCATAAGTCGAAAATAAACTGACAACACCATGGCTAAAAAAGAAAGGACCAAACACAAACAATAGCATGCAAAACATAAGATAGAAAACTAATGACCGAGCATCACGAACCCCACCAAAAACTGGGGGTGATCTCAGGTACTCCGGAAGGGTAAGCAGATCCTGTTCAACATGTGGCACCCGTCGTGTTGCTCACGTAGAAACACATCGGACAATAAGTCTCATTCGGTAGGTCACATTCGGGGAAAAGGGGACGGGATTGTGGTAACGACAATTGGAAGATATCCGTCGTCATCTGGGAAACCTTAGAATGACAAATAACCAAGATATCCTTATTCAATTGCTGAATATTAAATTGGTACTGGCGCTGATATATTTCTATAAGAAGAATAAGAATGACAACTAGAATAGTTTTTTCATGGCGTTGTCAGCTTATATTCAACTTATGAGTTTGAATGGTCCTTTGGTATCTTTAGTCTCTCTGTTATGCTTAAACGTTATGGCTTTCTTGTCGAAGTGCAAACAAAATGTATATCTGTAAGAGAAATCAAGTTTACGGTGCCATACCGTCTTTTGTACTTATAATTCGTAAACAAGTCCACAATTTTATGTCTATATACCTATTCCCATTATGGTCATATTCATTGCATTGTTGTTTTATCTTCTTATTGCAGATTTCAACAGAAATTACGGGATGTTGGTAAAATAATTGACAAAAGAAACAAACAAAGGGAACATCCATATGATTGGCTTCATCCAAAGGCAATACCTAATGCCATCAGCATTTAGACACTTCATCTGTTTTATAGACATAATGGTTTCTGTTTACTTACAATTTTCTTGCAATGCTGAGAGATTTCTTTTTAATCTACAATCTTTTCTGATTTCTTAAAAAAAAATTAAAAAAATGTATGTGCCTGTCGTAAATTGAGGACATTAAACCTAAGCGTCTACTGGGATTGTGGTAGGTAGATAAACTTGTTATATTTATATTATTGTGGTATGTGCTTTATGCAAACGGCTTCCACAATCCTTAATTGAGGGAGGCACTGGGATAGAAAAAACAAATTGTAAATGATAAGGAGCCATGTTGGTTAATATGTGTTTAGATTTTTATCAAATATCTTGAACAGTTCAATGGTGGACGTCCCATCCTAAAAAAAAATAGAATATACAGATATATATATATTGTGAATAAAATTTAATTAGCAACTATAAAAATCACTGGAAATTAATTTCTAGCTTACACTACTACTGGGGATTGATGCAAAATTGTATTCGATGTTTATCTGCCCTTCAACTCGAAAATGACATGTAGTTTCAAAGGAGTTTTATCGTTGTGATAAAAAGGAAACATTTTCTAATACCAATTATGAAGGTAATTAATACTATTCTTCCATTCCCAAGAACTGGAAAAAGATCGGTTAATTGATTGCAATGGTTGCATGTTGAATGCGTGTAAGATCCAGGGACAAATATTTGAAGGATGATCAATTCACGGAGATAGGCCTTTATAGAATGAAGAAAATTACTAAACATCCAGTGACATATATTTTTTAGAATATTATTAATTTCGACACGATAAAAACCGGTATCCAACCAAAATAACAGTAGGAAAATTTATAGTCATTTCTATTACATTTTGTTTTATTCTTTCATTAAGTGGAGGTAATTAAACGACTAAAATTCCAGTGACAATTTTTTTGGAATATTTATATTGTCACGATAAAAACAAGTATCCACCAATTTATCAATATCGCCTCTTTGTTTATAGACCACGTTATTCCTTTTTGTAGCTCTCCTTGGGCATTCATTTGTTTCAAGTACAATGTATAGGGAACCATTTTTAATTTAGGGTTAGGTTTACAAGTTTGGCTATTGTTAGTGTAAGCCCCCTCACTTCCCCCCCCTTTTTTTCTCGATTTGTTTTTGATATATTGTTGTGTATGCTTTTTGTGTGCATTTATTAGGACATTTTATGGTCATTGATTTCATAGCTAGACAGTGAAATAACAACTTTTGAGATGGAAGTTAGAGCACTGGTCTAAGCTCCTCCCATTCTTTGCTTTTCCTATGACAAGCGACACACGGCGGGACTGGAGAGTGCAATAACTAAAAAATCATTCAGTTAACGCACTCCTCTAAAAATAACCGAAGTTAACTTACTCGAAGATCAAAGGAAAAACTAACATTCATGTTACAATTTGTGTATAGAAACTGTCCAAATTTATTCGCAGTTGTTGTCATTTAAACCATAGCTATGCTCTAACAGAGTAATATAACACTTTAGTCCAGATATTATATTCAGAAGTTGTCTCTCTTCCAGTGGTTACCCTTTGTATATTTGTATGTATAGTCTGTCAACAATTATACGACCATAACTGTTAATTAATTCCACTTTTATATACTATTTTATTTTCCAGTTTTATAATTTCAACTATTAGAATTGAGTTTGTTTTTTTTTTAATAAAGAATGTGTTTGTTTGATTGTTTGTTTCAGTGTATGGCTGCTATGTTTGAAACTTTCATGTGTCTATGCGGTCGTCAGCTTCATATAAGAAATCTGCTTGTTTGATTCGATTATGTATACAATTTATCTAAAATATACTGATAAAATAATTTTTTATTAACCTTCTATGAAAACACAATTGGAAACACATAATTTGTCATTGGTTGATGTCTGCCGTCTGTTTATCGTACACTTTATTGTTATATTATAGACGTTGGTTTTCTCTACCTAAGTATTTCACAGTGTGTGCATCGCAACATTTTATAAGGGGAGTATTGAACATTTACCGAAGTAATTAGGGAGACCTGTAGTTGTTAAAATTCTTGCATGTTTTTTCTTGGATAGGAATCAAACGTAACCTTCTTTTTTGTATTTTATAATATGAGCTGCGTCAGATAGAAATCGACCTTATGCAAATGAATATCAATATATCTGGCAAATTATTTCAGGTTGTAAAATCTCTATGCAAAGTCTGTAACTGTTTGAAAATTGAGTTGAATGACCCTTCAAAACTTACCAACATGTATCTTTTATTTCGCATTTGAATGTTCCAAAATCAAACAAAGTCTTATACATGTACATGTATACGTGCACTTGCATAAGGTTGATTTTTATCCGACGCAGCTCATAAGATAAACTGTGAAATAGATTGTTAATAAAACTTTTCTATAAATTTGATGGTTGTAGTCGTATTTTATGGAAATCGTATTCCTGATCATTTTTGGCGTTTTCGGTATACATCATGTATCACAATTTTCAAGATAATAAGCAAAAACGTAAGATAGTTTTCTTAAAAATAAAAGAAAGTAGGGAAAAAACTCCTTAGAGGAGTCAATTTTTCTTTCATTTAGTAAATATTTTTGTAAGGCATATATATTGATGTCCATTTTTGTTGGTTGTTGGTAGTGGTTGCATGTATATTACAGTTTCAAATTAGTCAGGGAAAATGCTAAAATTTGGCAAAATCGTAGCTCAAGGGGTATTACTTCTATACCAAGATAATACATGGTCCAGTCATATTATATGATACTTTTAAAGATAATTGGTGAGAACCTATAATCGGTCAAAAATTGATTTCAGTGGAAATTATTGCTTTAAAGAGGCATCTGATAGTTTTGGTAGAAGTAGAAAGTAAGTAGATCTTTGCATCGGAAATAAATACATTTATTCTAAAACCAGTAGTAAGCATGATACGGGTTATGTTCTTCTCATATATTTTATGATGGTATGATACTAAACCCCTAAAATTGTGCTTGATTTTCATATGATGAAGACATAATCTTTCAATCAGTTTAATTGAGGTCTGGAGCTGTCATGTCAGTAACTACTAGTAGTCCTTTGTTAATTTATGTATCATTGTCATTTTGCTTAGTGTCTTTTGTTACCTATTCAGACATCGGACTCGGACTTCTTTTAAACTGAGTTTTACTGTGCGTATTTGCTGTGTATTTGTTTATTCTACATTGGCTAGATGTATAGGGGGAGGGTTGAGATCTCACAAAACATGTTTTTCATGGATGGAGAGTTGTCTCATTGGCACTCATACCACATCTTCTTATATCTATTAACCCCGCCGCATTTTTGCGCCTGTCCTAAGTCAGGAGCCTCTGGCCTTTGTTAGTCTTGTATGTTTTTTAATTTTAGTTCATTTGTATGTTTTGGTGGCCTTCAGCTGTTTTCTGCTCTTTGGTCGGGTTGTTGTCTCTTTGACACATTCCCCATTTCCGTTCTCAATTTTACTTAATATTCTGAACATTTATGCCACATCAGATTTTCTCTTGTGTTAGTTTTCATGTTATTACACGGTCACGTGCAGTTAACACTTATTCTCAATTTTAGCAATGACAACTATGCTTTTAAGTTGAATTGGCGGGAACAACAAAAATAAACTTTATACAAAATATACTAATGATCATTCAGGTCAACACCAGTTGAACTGAGTCCAATGGTTTCAGAGGAGAGTATTTTTGTTAAAAATTTAATATGATTGCCAACGACAAATGTTAATTAATGACAATGCTTCGTATTACCCACTTGGTTTGGTATTGTAAATAGGATGACGCCGAGATCTCAAAAGCTAGTTTATCCACGCCAAGTGCACGTCTTCGAGTTCATGTTTCTAAGAACGATTATTGTTTTATACAACCGTTTTTAGCAGAGTGGTCGAACGCGATAAAACATATACTTCAGGCATATGTTGAAGATTTCATATGAATTTGGGAGTGTTGGTACCGATATCACAATGCACTACGCGTGTCAATTCTACTTCACGACAATAAGCCAAAATTATTTTAAAAACATTTAAAACGCGTAATAAATACTTCTCAAATGGCTTAGCGAGCATATAAAAGTACTTTTCAGATGACTATGCGGACGTGTAATAATACTTTTCAGATGACTAAGCGGACGTGTAATAATATTTTTCAGATGACTAAGCGGACGTGTAATAATAAATCTCAGATGAATAAGCGAACGTGTAATAATACCTCTCAGATTACTAAGCGGGCATGTAATAATACATCTCAGATGGCTAAGCCGGCATGTAATAATACTTTTCAGATTGCTAAGCGAATGTGTATTTTTATACATCTCAGATGGCTTAGCGGGCGTGTAATAATACTTTTCAGATGACTTAGCGGACGTGCAATAATGCATCTCAGATGGCTAAGCGTACTTGTTAAAATAAATCTCAGATGACTAAGCGGACGTGTAATAATACATCTCAGATGACTAAGCGGACGTGTAATTATACATCTCAGATGGCTTAGCGAGCATGAAATAATTCTTTTCAGATGACTAAGCGGACGTGTAATAATACTTTTGAAATGACTTAGCGGACGTGTAATAAAACATCTCAGTTGACTAAGCAGACATGTTATAAAACATTTCAGATGACTTAGCGGACGTGCAATAATACTTCTCAGATGGTTTAGCAGGCATGTAATAATACTTTTTAGATGACTAAGCGGACGTGTAATGATACTTTTCAGATGACTAAGCGGACGTGTAATAATACATCTCAGATTGCTAAGCGGACGTGTAATAATACTTCTCAGATGGCTGAGCCGGCATGTAATAAAGAAAAGAAGTTAGCAGTATCCTTTAATTTCTCTTTCCGCTATATATATGATGTTCTCTCACTAAATAATTCAAAATTTGGAACCGGAACGCATCTATCCTGTCGAACTTGGGATAAAGGATTTAGCAGATACAGTTAAGTCTACCTAATATCTTGACTTGCATCTACAAATTGATAATGAGGGTCGGTTGAAAACAAAACTTTTCGACAAAAGAGATGATTTCAGCTTCCCAATTGTGAACTTTCCATTTCTATGTAGCAACATTCCAGCAGCGCCTGTATACGGAGTATATATCTCTCCATACGATATTCCAGGGCTTGTATTTCATTCATGATTTCATTGATAGAAGGTTGCTGCTCACAACGAAGCTATTAAACCAAGAGTTCCAAGTGGTGAAGTTGAAATCGTCACTTCGTAAATTTTACGGACGCCATCACGAGTTGGTTAACCGTTATGGAATATCTGTTTCACAGATGACAACGGATATGTTCCAATTGTCGTAACAACAATTCCGTCCCCTTTGAACCGAATGTGACGTACCGAATTAGACTCATCACCAGGTTTGTACTAACATGAGTAATAGGACGGGTGCCACATGTGGAGTAGGATCTGCTTACCCTTCCGGAGCACCTGAGATCCCCCCCAGTTTTTAGTGTTGTTCGTGTTGTTCAGTCTTTTGAGTCTATGTTGTGTTTTGTATACTGTTGTTTGTCTGTTTGTCTTTTTCTTTTTTAGACATGGCGTTGTCAGTTCATGTTCGAATTATAAGGTTGAATGTCCCTTTGAAACATATCACAGACTTCATAACGAATGAATAAGTTCAACCCGAACTTATCAAGTCATCTTCAGGTTTGCTGGTGAAAGAAAGAAAACACTTGTTTCTATCACGCAAAATACGCAAATACAACCCGATAAATTGATCATCTCAGAGTGGACGTGTAATAATACATCTCAAATGGCTACGCGGACGTGTAATAATACATCTTAGATGGTTAAGCGGACGTGTCATAATACATCTCAGATGTCTTAGCGGATGTGCAATAATAAATCTCAGATGCGCATGTCTAATAATACTTATCGTGCTTCCCTATGACGATATCACCCTGTCCAGTAGCTCTGCATTTTTTGTATCACGGCATAGAACATAAGCAGAACTTATAAGTGACGTCACAATGCTTGAGGAGAAATTTTTAATATTTTTCGTCATAGGTAAAAATGTATTTACACGAGGGGAAAAAGACCAGAAATAGCATGATAAACGGCTGATCTTCAGATTTTCTGTGTCCGGTATCGAAAAAAATATCAACCGCTTCACACAATGTGAAGCTCTTTTTATCCTCGCTGCGCTCACTCACCAATACACAAATATACATTGTTTATAATAGAATAAACAATTCACAATGCATTGACTCGTTATAATGTATCGGAACTTCGTGACTAGACCCCATTTAATTAACCATCGATATTACTTTCGAAGACTGTCGATAGTCATTCGACCCGATATAAACATAAAGATAATTAAAACCAAATATCGAGAAGAATCCAAGGAAGGAGGATCTAATTTATTTTCTAATTATATAATTTCTTTGATATCTTCGGCCTTTTTAACTAAAATTTGACTCAGCAATCGCCAGTTGATTCCGTTCGATTAAGAGTCACTGTTAAACAAACATTCATAGATCGTTTTATCTAAAAATGGTGTAGTCGAACAGACAATTCACTGAGAGGAAAGTTTATAGTCCGTTTAAATTGGAATATAATCTAGAAAACAACCTTATGAAAGTATCTACAGAAGAACGACCAGTTACTATCAAATTAAGGTGTTGTAATTTGAAAATACCTATAGAAAATGAGATGGAGAAATATTCCTAACGAAGAAAAAATATGCCGCTGATATC